ACAGAAGTTATTGTCTTTGGCCCTAAATAACCAAGCTCCATCTTCTATCAGGGATCTGATTGGTCCTTATGTTCCTAAAAGAGCACTCCGCTCTCAATCTGAACGTTTATTAGTGGTTCCTAGAATTTCTAAAAGTAGAATGGGAGGCAGATCTTTTAGTCATCAGGCTCCTCTTCTGTGGAAATTTTAAGGGTAGGCTTAAAACTTTCGTTTTTGGTTAAGTTTATAGTTTGAGTGGCTCAAAGCTATCTCAATAGATGTGCTGCTATAGGTGTAGGCTGCAGGAGGACATAGGGAACACTTCCTCTTTCTGTTTCTTTCTACTTTTATTCTCCAATTCTGCATTATTTGTGAGTACAGCTTTCATCTCTTCTCTCTGTTTTTCTAATGATGTTCTCTATACCTGGCCTGGTGCTTGTGTAACTTGTTCTCAAATGACACCTTTTAATGCTGCCAAACTGCTTGGTGAAGAAATAAAGGAAAAAAATCCTGTTAAACAGTTTATTAAAGCAGAGAGCAGAAAGTATTTTCTGCTGTTCAAAATCCTTTTAACCCTGTTTGTCTTTGTTTTTCTCATTAACAAACAAAATTAAAACTGTAACTCAAAACCAGAACCAATTATTTTTACTGTCTTACCTGGATGGTCACAATACGAGGCAGAGGTTGACGTGTATTTGCTCCTCCCTCTATAGCAATGCCCAAGGTGTTGGCATTTTTCACCACTCGCACCAGCACAGTGTTGAGTGCTGAAATGGGGGAGCTTGTCTGCTGTGACACAAGGTGAAGAGAGGTCAGCAGTGTTTTTTAAGGCCATCTATCATGATCTTTGTTTAAGTAACATTTCAAATCTGAATGCAGTCTTGAGTAAAAATGAGTGGATTGGAGGTTATTCATTCTACTTTGATTATTCAGGTTGGTTTGGCCTGCTCCCAAACAGAGGTACTTTAGTATTCAGAGGTAATTCATCATTGCAGCTGTATAATTCATCGCTGCTTGAGTGCTTTATTTTCTGAAGGGTTACAATTTATAAATGAGTTTGATGCTGAGTAACAGATGGGATGGTGATGGAGAAGACACCAAAACTAGATTTCAACATCAAAAAATGGGGACATGACAACAGAAACCTCCATAGGATCCGGAACGCAGCCGTACTTGTCTTGTGGAAGGTGCGTGGGCCCCTTGCTGTTCCAGATTTCCCTGCTTATTCTTGCTTGGTCTCGGGCTGCCATCCTTACTGAGGCCTCCAGCCTCTGCTATGTCCACACCGCTGTCCTCACTCAGAGTCTGACCACTGTCGGACAGCTGAGACAGGGTTGCACCTGGAAGAGGCAGAAATAAAAGGCATCTTAGGATGTTGAGTCATCATCAGATCTAAACATCTGCAGAGGAGCTCCAAAGTCAAAAGAGAGTTTTGTGTTCATAGGTGCAGTTAGCATGCTGAAGCCGTCAGTTCCTCCATCCGCTCACATGAATAACAGGAAACTACATTTCCAATTGATAAATTAAATCAAACCCTATAAGGAGTTTTACTGTGGCTTTACAGAGATTGTTGTTTAAGGACTGGCTGGAGCCTTCATGTCATGCACCACGCTTTTTTCCTATTTTGTGCTTTTTCGTTTTTCTGTGCTTTACAAATTTAGATTTAATTGGTATAGTTTGGCAAATAAACCATTGCTTTCTACACTTTTTCGGGTCTCTGCTATTTGAATGCAGCCAATTAAAACCTTACAAGCTCCTAAATAGGTCCCAGTAATCAGCTCCTGATAAAGCAGATTGGATTACAGATTACACGGATCTGGAGAAGTGGATCATTTCTCCCTGCATGGCAATTTCATGGACAAGGCTGGGTTTGGCGGTTGCCACTAGATACTAAACCCATGTGTGTTATCTTCCAACTCTTTGGTTGCAATCAGCTCTATTCCACTCATCTGTGAGCCCCTAAGATTGGCCTGAACATCGTTCAGATCAGTGAAAGCTTCTGTCACTAGATATACAGCATTTTTTTCTGTCTGTGTCTGATCTCATTGTTAAGACCTCACTCTGTACGAGACCCTTAATATTTCCCCTATCTTTGGATAGTGTTCTGATCTCTGCCTTGCTCTGGTTGCCTTTTGTATCTCTGCTTCTTTATTTATCTCTGCTTGTCTCCTTGAACCCCAGTCGGCCTCAGTAGACGGCCCCTCATATTGAGCCTGGTTCTGCTGGAGGTTTCTTCCTGTTAAAAGGGACTTTTTCCTCTCCACTGTCGCTACAAGCATGCTTAGTGTGAGGGATTGCATTCAATGAAATCAACAGGTTTTCCTTAGATAGAAAACTTTAAATCAATTTGAATGGATGATCTGGTGAGCTGTGAAGTGCCTTAAGATGACATGTGTTTTGAATTGACGTTATCTAACTAAAATGAATTCAATTTAATTGAATTGAATTTTAATTTGACCCATTACGAATAAAACATTGTTTTATGAGCAGACTAACACCTCAGTAGTTCATCGAACATACAGCTCAACTCAGACACCAATTGCAACTTCACGGAAGATGAAAAAAGTTAGAAGAAAGAAACCTTGTTAAAACTAGGGGCTACGAGAACTGGCGGTAGAGGACTGCAGTTCTGTGCAGTGTTCTTTTGGCCACAGATGGTAGAATCTTGAAAGAACTCAGATTTTCTGACTCTAACAGTGTGAAAATTTGTCATCTCCCTCGGCAAAGTTCTTGAGCAAAGAGGTATGACTCTAACACGATTTATTTTTAAATAAATCCTTTTAAAGCATCCTCTGTTTCTGATTGAGGTTTTGGGTCCTGTGTAGTATATATACAGGGGCGGATTTAGGAAATTTGGGGCCCTAGGCAAAGACAGGCAGGGGGCCCTCTGAATTGACATTGAAAGACAACACATAAAAAATACCCATTATACAGATAGTTTTAATACAATAGACATCCATTATCTGTTCTAGGTTTTGTCCCTCTCTTCTTGTCCCTTTTCTTGTCTCTAAAGGAATGAAAGATTTTTTC